TTTTCTATGTTTGTTTGAAGAGATTTTTATATAAATTGCAGGTTGTGAGGGATTTTTGATATTCTTTTTTTCAAGTTTCTTAAGTATTGTTTGAATGATTTCAATGTTCAAAATGGAAAGAACAGAAGCAGTGATTGAAGCAGTGATTAATGGGTAAAGAAGCAATTCTTAGTGGGTTCTCATTTGTTTGGCTAGAAGGGTGTTTGGATGCTGAGAAAATGTTTGCTGTTTGAACACATGGCAAAACGTTTTGTCCATGTCATTACTTTTTTTAATTTTACGCTCCACGTCATCAAAAAAAATATAAAAAATGCCACATATGCAGAGTTAACGGTGAAAATTAACAGAAGGACTAACGGTGTGCATTTGTTAGAGTTGAGGGATTAAAAAAGTGCAAAAAATTGTTGAGGGATCAAAAATGTGCATTTCTTAAAGTTAAGGGACCAAATTTAGCATTTAACCTTCTTAAAATTAATGGAGTAACCTAACGTGAGTTAGAAGTTTCCTCACGTGCAACTTTTAAGTGACGTGTAAGGATTTTAGTGGACTTAAACATATGCATTAAGTTAAACATCTACTGCCTCCCCTGGAAGGAAAAACAGTGTCAGCCTTGTTCTTGCTACAAACGCTTTACAAAAATCTACTTTAAGACGACAAAGGATCGAGCTTTTCTTCGATCTTGGTAGGATGATCATTAATCTTCCCAACCTAGAGTTCTAAGTCATCCTTCTGATTACCTTGCTTTGTTTCCATTTCATCATCCCTGGATTTCACGTTCAGTCTCTTTACCTTTTCCCCACAGGACAGCGTAGAGTCCAGCAACGATCAGAACAGACCCTGCAAGACTGAACCAATGCATATACAATTAGTCATATCTTTGATAATGCTAGAGATATGGTTGAATAATCAATGTATATATTATATACTCACGTTCCAATGAATAATTTTTCATGTAGCAGTGCCGAGCTTAGGATTGCCACGATCACCAACGACAAAGGACTGAACATCGAGACGTAGAAAGGTCCTTTCTTTTCTATGCTCCATGTCACTAGGCAAAATGCCAGCCCGTTACACACGATTCCCTAAAATTACGTGCCAAATCAGATAAGGCAACTCAAATCTAATAACACAATCATTTTTACATTTTTATTAATTTGTAATTGGCTTGGTAGTAAAACAAACCTCGTATAAAGCTGCAAAAAGTCTGATACTGGAGCTCAATGACCAGGCAGAAATTCTATGTTCAAAAATGAAACCAATGACAGTGCACTCAATGCTCGCCAGTAAACACATTACTGCAGTTGTTGTGTAAGGCGCTTCAAACTTCTTCCTTAGTCGTTCCTAAAAAATGGGAATCATTGGTGATTGAAACAATTTATTTAATGGATGAAGTAAAAGTGCAAGGAATTAAGTGTTTTGAGGTCAAGCATGGACCTGTATTATGAACCCAACAGCCCAAGCAACACAGCTGAGCATGATTAGAAACAGACCGAGGAAGTTTGTCCCGTTGTTGGAACTTGAATTAGTCATTTTCTTGGCATATTTCCAATGAATGCTGGATCCTATTATGTCAATGGTGTGTCCATGGTAAAACGACAACAACATGGATCCAACAACACATGCAGTAGTTCCTATCACCTTTGCCTGCCCTACTACGGTTCTTATTTGCACATTTTCATACCTATTAAAACCAGAAAATAAAAATAAAATCGATAAGGCCTTTATCTAGTAGTATTAGTAGTGGTATTATAAAAAAATTTTTGATTTGGTCTTTAAAGTTTTTAAATTTGATTTCAAGTTGATCTTTTCAACTAAAAAACAAGTGATGTATTCATTATTTGATGATAGAAAGCAATTACTTAATAGCCATGCATCATGTTAGCTGTTTTAACTTGATCTCAAATTTAAAAACCTTAGAAACCATAATAAAAAAGGTTTTAGTTTAGGGACTAATTTAAAAGATCAAATTAGGGGTTTAACTTATATATATATTATTGAAAGGTACTAGTGGCGGAAGTAAGAATCAATTAAGGGTAAGGCTTTCTATTTTTTCAAACTCGAGTTTTAACCATTATATAAGGTGGTTCCGCCACGACTGAAAGGTTTTAGGTGCAAATTCCGTGCACCTGCAAAAGGCTTCTAAAACAAAAGTGATCATAGGGAGGAGATCGTTCAATGCACAGGCAATTGTTGCGGTTGTATACTCAAGTCCAAGAACGTAAAACACCTGGTTTGCAGTCACCCTGCATAAGATTATCGTTAACTTCCTTTTATTTTTCAGCATTCATAGCAATATTTTGAAGGCAATTCATAAAGTAAACCCAAAAGTCCAAAATAAAAACACTTACGTTGGAATTGAAAACAAGAACAACTGGAACAGTATTTTCATTGTGATCGTGGGTCTTGTCTTCCTGCTCAAATAACCAGAAAAAAGAGTCAGAAACTTCTAGTTGTGCAAAAAAACAAAGTTTCCTCCTAGGAAACAATTTTCTTGGCATCGGAATAGAACAATACTTGCACATGCAAAATAACCCAATTTGTGATTTAATGCGGTGCGTGTCACGTTATACAGGTGCCAGGTGCCAAGCTAGCATAGAAAAAGGTTATGAGAAAAGTTCAATAATACCAATGAACTTTATATTAAATTCTTTAAAAAAGACATCTCTTTCCCGCGTTTTCCCAGAAACCAAACAGGGCCCATATCAAAGATAATCAGAGAAAAAAAAAGACCGTTTGCTTCAATTAGATGTACTACTAAAAGAACTAGAAAAAATTAAGAAAGAAAGTTGTTTTTGTTTTCTTGAATAGATTATTACCGCTCCATGAAAAAAGCTAAGGGGGCGATGGCAATGACAGAAAAGATTTGACGGTAAGCAACGAGAACAAGAGGTTTCATGCCGGATTCCATGGCCAGTTTGGAGGTGATGTTCATTATAGCGTAGCCTACCTGCACCAGAACCATGGCCAAGCACGGCAAGAAATCCTTCAACATTATGTTTCTTACTTTCTTTCTTTCACTATGTTTGGATACACTGATACTAACCCAGTCAACAATCCACAAAGAATCAAGAGATTGAGATGAGAAAAGAACTGAGAAGAGAGGTGAGATGAGAAACAGAGGCTTAGAGTGGATGAGAAGAGAAGGGAGAAAACTATAGAGAGAAAAAAACTGTATTCACTTGGCTAACCCATTCTGTTACAAGAATTAGAGTTTTATAACTGGCTTTAGGTACATACATCATATATCATGTATCATCATATATCATGCATCATCATCTACATACCTCATTAACAAACTGTCCACATAAGCATAACTTCCTGCCACGTCAGCTGTCTTATTTCCAGTCCCATTACGCACACAGGAGGAGGATGAAAGAAAGAATGTCGGATGAAAAAAAGACGTTAGTATAAATAAGGGGGATGTTGCAAAATAAGTACGTTGGCAATGATTAATTGATTTAATTCACGTTTTAGGAAGACTGCTTTTTTTTTTTTTTTTTTTCATTTTAATTATCGTTCTTACCTTCTAATCGGCCTGGACACGGGTCGGTTTCGGTAGACCCGAAACCGATATGAAACTAACTGAATTTTTTTTTTTCATTTTTATCAACCGAAACCGTACAAAAAAATGCTTCGATATTACGGCTTCGGTCATCGAAATATTCGGTATTTTCGGTTATAAACTCAATCAATCGAATTCAAGAGGAAAGAGGGATTTGCTTTCGGGTTTTTCAGTGGCTAAATCAATTTTAATGGCTTGTTGAAGAAGTCATGGAGATTGAAGAGGAAGAGAGCTCGGATAATGGTGAGATTGAGAGAAAGGAGGCTGCTGAAAATGAAAGGAAAAGTATGAATCTAGCAAGATTGAAGGTCAAAAAAGTGTCCAGCAAGTTTATATGACTAAAAAATTTCAAGAGTTCTGACACTTTGGTTTTGAGATGCAAAGAAGGGAAGATGATGGGTATGAAAGATGGGGAGAGGTGGTGATGAAAGCAAAAAGATGTGGAGAGGCAAAGAAGATGAACTGCATTTACATTAATGATGTGGTGGGCCTGCCTTGGTGAAACAAATAGGATATAACTATTTGGTAAATGTGAATCCGTGGAAAGAACTTTAATTGTCAATTAAAGTGGAACAAAGAGAGTACATCATGGAGAGATGACTAGTTATTCAAGTATTTTTCTCCAGAAAAAGAAAATGAAAAACAGATTTTTTCACTTTGTGCTTTCATAAGGTACCGGAAGCAGCAGAAAAATTTAGCAAGTTCTCTGTCTTCAGTGATTTTACTTCCTTGGTGTCAGGCGACCGACCACCTCCTCCTGATGATCAATATTCTTCTCGTCCACCAATCAGGCGTGTACTCCTCAAACTGCAAATTTAGTAACAAACCAATCAAGCGCACAACACATATATTTAGAAATTAAGAGAATTTGGTTAAAATATAAGCAGTACTTACTTGCCAGGTAAAGTGGTGCACGTAATTGGTGACATAAGGGAATTTGGATGCTAACTGGGCATTTTTCTTGGGCCAATACACTCATTGAATCTCTTTTTCCCACAAATTAAGGAACATGTCTGGTAGGATGACCACCATTGGAGCCCCATGTTGGTCTTTTGAAAAATTTTAAAATTAATTCTCAAATTTTGTAGTTTAAGAATTTTATACTTAAATTTTATTTTATTCATTTAATTATTTTTAATATTTGTAAAAATAATTATTATTACTCTTTTTTATAAATTGTCATTAAATTTAAAATAAAATATTAACATAATAATTAAAAAACTTAAGGCAAATCTTATTAACTATAAAAAAAAGTGATTAAATCTCTAATATTTTTTGTTAAAATAATGATAAAAAAATTTTTAAACTTTTTAACGGTTTATGAAAAATCATTAGATCATCACTTTTATAGTGTTTAAAATTAATCTAAAATATTCATTTAATTACAAATATTTTATTTTTTATATCAAATATTAAAACTTTACATTTAACTCAAATTTTCTTGTTAAGTTAAATTTGTTTATTTTATTTTATTGCATCTATATAAATTTTTTATATATTTATAAATTTATTATATTTGTTTAAGTATGTTTTCTTGTATATTTTTTCTTACAAATATAATTAGATAATTATTTATTAATTACCAAAAATTTTCATTTTACTTTAATTTTTAACGAAATAATTTTTTTAAAAAAAGGCCTATTGGAACAAGATCTAGAAGAGTTTTGAAAACTCATAATTGCCTACCCAACCATAGCTCTCACGCATGGTCGAAAATGTCCAATTGCCTACCCAACCATAGCTCTCAAATATAGTGGAAAATTAAGGAGTTGTCAAAAAGTGTAGTGCCCAAAATTCCAAAACTCATAATTGCTCTCAGGCATAGTGGAAAATTAAGGAGTTGTGAAAAAGTGTAGTGCCAAAATTCCAAAACTCATAATTGCTCTCAGGCATAGTGGAAAATTAAGGAGTTGTCAAAAAGTGTAGTGCCAAAATTCCAAAACTCATAATTGCTCTAAAGCATAGTGCAAAATTAAGGAGTTGGAGAGGTCAAAAAGTGGAGTGCCAAAATTTTGAAAAACTCAAAATTTGCCCAGCCAACCATAGCTGTCAAGCATACTAAAAAATGTGCAATTGCCTACCCCATTATATCGTCGGCAGATAAGGGGGCGCAAATTGCGGAGCTAACAGTTGCTTAAGAATAGGGTAAAGGTTAAATTTGATTCTTTAACTCTATTGAGTTGTATTTTTTTTGTTTTTTAATAATTTTTTATATTTTTTTTATTTTTTAATTCTAAAATATACACAACATAAATCCTTTCTTCCGTCCATTTAAACTGTCAACTCCCCTCATGTGATATTTTTTTGTATATTTTTTTTATAACATAAAAAACATAACTTTAAAAAATATTGATATAAACAAAATATTATATCATATCATATTTAAATATGTGAAAATCATGGTTTTAAAACCCAAACCAATAGTTGAACCGGTTTGGTGACCGATTCTTGATTTTGATGGTCTGACCGATTCAACCGACCACCCGCCCGGATCCATTGAAAAGCACCTCAAACTGCAGTTTTAGGTGCTGCAGTTTTCATCGTCATTTGACTGATGTGTTTTGCAATTTTTTCCCTAGCAATTTCTAACATTATATAATTATTTTCAATTTAAATTAAATTTAATAGATATATAAATTCACATAATAATATAAAAAATAAATTTCAAAACAAAATATATATTAAAAACAAGTTTTAAAACTACATAAATAAATAAATAAAATAACATACAATTATAAGTCTCAAAATTAACAAATCTTACATATATATAAAATCAAAACGCTTACGTTGTAATTGAACACAAGAACAACTGGAGCAGTATCTGCCTTGTGATGCCGGGTCTGGTATTCCTGCTCAAATAACCAGAAAAAAGAGTCAGACACTTCTAGTTGTGCAAAAACAGAGTTTCCTCCTAAGAAACAATTTTCTTGGCATCGAAACAGA